AGATTGGATACTATTCAGTGGAGGTTATACCTTCCTCCACACCCTCTGGATCTAGATTCCTTCTTGAAAGCTTGTAAGCCAGTCACTTCTTGCCTTTGAAGCCCCCTCCCCCCATCACATTATATTTTTTGACGAAAGATTTTTTAAATGAACATAAATAATGCCTACGTGTCTTAAGGTCTACAAATACATATTAAGATCTAAAATCAGTTATTAACCAGAAATCTTTTATAGGGGCACCCTTTGAGTGTTCTCATTATCCTACTTATTAGTGTCTTTGTTTAAGTGATTTTTCAAAAAAAGGTAACTGGATTTTAAATGTTTTTCTGGGCTTCTCAGCTGACTGATCATGGATAATTATTTTAGCACTTAGTTGTTCATTATTTCACTTTAAAGACTGTCCTCAGCCTCCTTTTTTATCAGCTTCTTCACTTAAGTGTACGACACGTAAAACAGCAGTAATAAAATACCTAGCATTTGCCACAACCCTTAACTTTTGTATAGTCTTCCCATATACTTTATTCAGTTTCCCACAAACCCAATAATGCAATTAGTTTTAAAGGTTCATAGTAAGAGCTTATCTCACACTGAGTCACATGGCTAGTTAAGTAATAAGTTAGACCTTATTTGTTTCTTCTGAATCCAACTCTAGTAATGCCTTTTCTACTTTACTGCTCTCTTGTCACTGACACTGAAATAATAATTTGTTCTACCTTGAATAGCTTAAATTGTATGTACTCATATATGCCTTCATTTAATCTGTTAGACATACTAGTTAGAAGATAAGCTTTTAAATGTGTTTCAGTGACTACCAAAAGAAAGCTATCACTTTGTCTGGTCCTCATTCAACGATACGAAATTTTCAGGATCCAAATGCATTTGCAGTAGAAAAAGTAAGTGCCATCCCTAAACATTGCAACTTAAAAATATTATAAGTATAAAAATACTGAAATGTACATAAAAAGTGTATTTGATATAGTATTTCTGTAAGACTGTGCAGTGCAATTGTTTTGTGATAAAAATAGGGATGAAAGAGGTTGTTGTTGTTAAGTGCCATCGAGTCGGTTTTGAGTCATAGCAACCCTGTATAGGGTTTCCAAGGAGTGATTGGTGAGCTTGAACCACTGACCTTACGGTTCAAACCAGCTTTGCAGTTCAGCACATTAACTTGCAGCACCAGTATCAAAATGAAAAGCATGTGTGAATGCATCAAATGAAAACAATGCTATTTTGAGGAAGTAGAAATACTTCGTTGTTACTGGATCAAGCATTGTAATAGGGCATTTTACTGAGATCAGATTGTTTTAAACTTTGTATGATATATGCTAAGGAGCCCTGGTGGCACAGTGGGTTAAATGCTGGAGTGCAGACCAGAAGGTATTATGCGCTGTAGGATAAACACTAAACTAGTAACTGTAAAGTCAGTTTAAACCCACCAGCTGGTCTCAGAAACCCTATATAGGGTCGCTATAAGTCAGAACCAATTCAATGACCCTCAGCAGCAAAAACATGATATATTCTAATATATGATGGGTACAGTGGGTTAAGTGCTGGGATACTAACCAAAAAGCTGTCAGTTTGAACGCAGCAGCCACTCCACAGAAGAATATGAGGCCTTTGGCTTTGGTTAAGATTTACAACCTAGGAAACCATGTGCAGGAGTTGTATTCTGTTCTATAAAGTACCTATGAGTTACAGTGAACTCAGTGACAGTGGGTTTTTATGATTGGTGCTAGGGAGTTCCTAGTTGGGGCAAATAATTAAACACTTGACTACTAGTAAAAGGTTGGTGGGTACACACCCAAAGGCACCTCAGAAGACAGGCCAGGCAATCTACTTCCAAAAGGTTACAGTCTGAGAAACCCTGTGCACACATGGAGTCAACATGAATTGAAATTCACTCAGCAGCAGCAGCGTAGTGGTTATGAGTCGGGCTGCTAGCCTTAAGGTCAGCAGTCCAATACTCCAGGAGTTCCATAGGAGAAAGATGAGTCTGTCTGTTTCCATAAAGATTTACAGCCTCAGAAACCCTATACATGGTCACTATGTGTTGGAACTGACTTCATGGCACACAGCCACTACCACCACTGTAGACAATTAAGAGTTGGTGAAGGATCGGTGAAAACACTTGTAAATTGTAAAACATATTATTTGGTTGTTTATATGGAGAAAACCTCCACATCTAAATTTCCACTTTGGTTTATTAATTTTCCGTTAATTGGTTCTTTTAAAATAAATCTAATATTATTTCTTAGTGTTATCCTAATAGTAACTTTCTTTTACAGCAAATGGTTATTGAAAATGCACGAGAAAAAATATTAAGCAACAAATCTCTTCAAGAAAAGCTTGCAGAAAACATTAATAAATTTTTGACTAGGTAAAGTATGTTTCAGATGACTGATTATTTTTGTGTTGTTGCAGAAATATGCTAAAGATTCTTCTTTATATGTTATAGTGACAACAATATTGTTCAAGTACCTAAGCAAACAGATAGCAACCCTACTGAGCCAGAAACTTCAATTGATGAACTCCTGGGACTTCAGGTATGGGTAAACATGTGTGCCTCGCATATAGTTGAAATCGATGGTATTTTACTTTCATTTATAAATGATCGCTAGCAGATGATTTGTGTAGGTAATTTAAGATACAGGTTTCCTTCCTTCATAACCCAGTGTAATTTGTTCTTGAGAAGAAATTGGATAGTGACTTTTCAAATAGAACCTGTAACTTAGTCAAATGGGAAAAGTAATGATTCCTAACCTGTGTAATATCTCTAATCTACTTTTCCTGATATCAGTAAAACACTCTTCTATACTCTTAGAACAATACAATGTGGACTTCTAAATATAAAAAGTTTAAATAGTTCATTAGTAAATATATTTGTGTGCAGTAAAAAAAAAAATTACCGTGTTGATACAAAGTACATTTATTCTACACTGCTATAAACTTTATAGTAATAAAAAGTAATAATGAAATAATATTCACAGTTCCATAACAAATTCAAACAATTTTTACCCTATCAGATGAACAAATCACTTAAAAAGGAAAGGTTGCTAACTGAGTAGATAATTGTGTGTATGAAATGTACTGCTTACTAAGAGAAGAAACATAGGAGTTGTATAGTCACTGTTGCTTTTATGGTGGTAGTGAAGTTGAAAGCATAAGCTAGTAAAGAAGAGAAGTTAACAATATGTTTTGAGGTTTGTCTGTGGGCAAATACTCTTTGAAGAGCAGCCGAGCTTATGACTAGCACGTACATTCTTTTATTCAGACACTTGGACAAATGAAAACTTTCTTTTTTTGCATGCCCAGTGTGAAATTTTGATAAAGTTTTCTTTCAGATGATAAATTTTGAGTAAAACGATTGAAAATTTTGTAGCCTTATTCTCGTTAACCTTCGAAATCTTTTTTTTTTAAATAACTATTTGATGCATTTTCTCATAGAGAAAGTAAATTTGCTAATAATAAAAAACTACAGCCAGGAAGAAAATAGATTAACAGTACATCCTGGCAGGAAACTTGCATCAAAGGGATAGAACAAGCTACAAATCTTTTTTTTTGGAAGACAAACTCCAACTTATGAATGTTCGAAAGACTAGAGTAGACGGCAGAGATACACTAAAAATGGCCAATAAATGTCTGAAAAGGGGCTCATGTGAGCATACAAAGCAACTATAATACTGAAACATTGCTAATGCAGGACATTAAATGGTACAGCCACTTTGGAAAACATAATAACCTTGTTAGCTGCATCTACTCAAACCCAGAATCATAACTCTGCACAATTGGATTGGCCCATTGTGACCCATAGGATTGTCACTGGTTGATTTTGGGGAGTGAGCTGCCGGGGGTTTTCCCTAGTCTGTGTGTTATCTTCACAGTTGTCATGTTTGAGCCCATTGTTGCAGCCAGTGTGTCAATCTATCTCATTATGGGTTTTCCTTGTTTTCATTGACCCTCTACTCCACCAAGCATGATGTCCTTTTCCAGAGACTACGTCCTTACATCATGTGTTCTGCTGCTATTCATAAGGTTTTCTGAGGTTAACTCTTCAGAAGTGGACTTTGTATTCGTTTGTTCTTAGTCTGGAAGTTCCACTGAAAGCCATCCACCATGAGTTAACCCTGCTGGTACTTAAAATACTGATGGCATGGCTTCCAATATCCCAGCCACTCACCACAGTACAACAGACTTACAGGAGACTGACTGATGGACTGCACAGTTTATGGTCTGCCATTACTAGGTTTTTATGTGAGAGGAGCAAAAAATATATGTTCACTGAAGAACTTTGTATAAGCAGCATCATAGTAGTTTTATTCATAATTAACAAACTACAAAGAAACCAAATTGTCCATAAACAGAAAAATGAATTTTAACTTACTCATAAAATTGAGTACTACTGAACAATGAAAAGGAATGAACTACTAATCACATAACAGCATGACGAATCATTTCAAATGAATGTTGATTAAAAGAAATCAGACATAAATGTACATTGTATGATTTCATTAATGTAAGATTTAAAATAGCAACACTAATCTGTGCTCATTAGAAATTGTTGCCTGAGATGATAAAGGACTGCTAAAGGGAGGAATTCTCTAGAAAAAGGCATGAGAGTGTGAGTGTGAAAGAGTGATGTGTTGTGTTTTGATTGGTATAGTGATAATACGGTCTACAATTGCCAAAACTCATTGAACTGTGAGTTTAAGGCTTGTGTATTTTATGCTATATACCTTAGACCTCGATTAAAGAAAAATAGTGATTTCTTTGGACATATATTTTGAAATACATCAGAAATCTTTTGATTCTGATTTTCAAAGTTTAAAATAAAAGATTTACTAGAAAGCTGTTGTCTCTACCAATGACTTTCATTGCATTGTTTTCCTTTGACATTATTTACATTATTGTAAATTTTCAAGTTTGTAAATGTAGAAATCTTTGTTCAAGTTCCTGGCTTTCTCCTGAATCGTATTTCATTGAGGATTAGAAATTTTTTCTCTATATTTTTTCTTCATTATCAAAGTTCACTAGATTTTCGACTTTCAGACAAGTTTTTCTTGTGCTTTATGGTCATTGACAATCCACATTTTTGTCACTTCATCAAAGTTCTGTTTTACTTCTTGATTTTCCTAACCCATGGGATTCATTCCTGTTCTTCACCAAAACTGAATAATACAGCATAAGTATTCGTAGGCATAGTGTACTGAAATTTCTTTGAAATCTTCCATTTAGCTGGGGGAAAAAATTGTGCTTTTCATTCTATAATAAGTATTCATTTTTATTTTCTGAAGTAAAAAAAAATCCCTTAAATCTTCGTGTAACATTAATGCAGCAATAATTAATAAAAACACATAATACTTAATCCAATGACTTTGCACACAACCTCCAACATACTGCTGTGGGATGTTGCTCAAAATCAGATGTTATAGTTTGAGCAGAATTAGTTTAATCTGTTTGCAGTAACTTTAAGAGCAAACACTGTTAGTACTGGTTTTCTTCTGATTGCTTGTAAATGTGAGATCTTTGGCACCTCAGAACTCATAAAAACTTCTTTAGGAATGAACCTGATCCACAAAGAAGCAATGAAAAAAAAAAAAAAAAAGGTTAAAATGCCCAGTAAATATGGAAATACACTTAATTCAATAATAAATACAAATTAACACAAAGCATCACTTTTTTATTTATTAGACTATTAATGTTTAAAAATTGAGATTGTCCATTGTGGTGAGAATGTGTACATTCTTATACAGTCTCTCATGAAGGCTGTTTAGCAGTAGTCAAATTTTTAAATGAATATCCTTTGACTTGATGATTCCAAGACGTAAACAGCTGCTGAGATAAAGATTTTCTTTGTAATAGTATTTGCTGTAACAGAAAATTAGGGGAAATGCAGGTGACCAGTTGTGGAAATTGGCTCACTTATGGCATGTTGTTATTATTAAGTGCCACAAAGTCGAGTCCAATTCATAGGGACCCTGTATAGGCTTTCCAAGGAGCAGCTGGTGAGTTTGAACTGCCAACCTTGTGGTTGGCATTCCACATCTTATCCTTCAGTGCCACACCAGGACTGCAATTTATGGAATAGCCCTGCAAAAATAAATGTCTGATTAAAAAGTTTCTTCCCTTTAGAAAAAAAGTGGCATTTACCTTTTGCATCCTACAGTTTAAAAGATGAAAGTTTAGAAAATGCATTCCCACCAGGACACTAAAGATTTTTGGAAGCTGAAATGGACACAATAAGAAATTGCAGATGGCTCACGAGTAGTACTACCAGTGTTTCTGAAAGTAAATAAAATCATGGAGCTACAGCATTGTATCAGTGTAGGAAATAGTTTGGTTCTTTATCTTCTGTCTCTTCCCCAGAAACATTGTTGTCAGTCATAACTTCCAGCAAGAAATTCAACTAGCTCAAGAGAAAATCCCTAAAAATAGAGATCGTTCTGCAATATTGTGCTACAGCTTTGTGGTTGCCAAGTTTCCCGCATTGTCAAACAGCTTTCAGTTAGCTTTGGAAAACCACTTAAATATGAACAGACAAGCAAGAACTGTCAAACATTTGAACAAAACATTTAATATTTTAAAAACTAAAATAAATATAATCCAAATGAAATAGATTTCTGTTGAAAGAACTGGAAAGTAGTTGACAGTACAGTACACAATAGGAAGAAAATAAACATGATGAGACATTACGTTGTTAAGTGCTGTTGATTCCATCCCTATTCACAGCCACCCTGTATAGGGTTTCCAAGGAGTAGTTATATATGGGTTTGAATCCTCAACCTTGCACTTAGCAGTCCAATGCTTATCCTACAGTGCCAAACCAGGACTCTTATTGTGTGATTTTATTTCTAACAATATGTATGTGTATTGGTGGTGTTTGTTGTTGAGTTAGTTCCGACCCATAGCAACCCTGTATAGGGTTTCTGAGGAGCAGCTGGTGAGCTTGAACCACTGACTTTGTGGTTCAGCTGACTTTGCAGTCCAGCAAGTTAACCCACAGCACCATACCAGGACTCCATGTATATATACATAGTTCCTGTATTCATTTTACTTTAATGTTTGGTGATATAGCCACCAATCTGATTTAGTAGAATTAGGAAATATTCACCTTTTCCTTTTTTAATCTTAATTAAATTTAAATTAATAAATTTTAATTTTTAAATGAATACCCTATTGCCGTTGATTCCTACTGATCACAAACCTGAACAGCAGAATAGAACTCCATAGGGTTTGTTGGTGTTGCTATTAAATGCCTTCAATTCAATTCTGACTCATAGTGACCCATATAGGGGTTTTGAGGAGCTACTAGTAAGTTTGAATTGTCGACCTTTTAGTTAGCAGTCTAGTGCTTATCCTACAGTGCCACACCAGGACTCCATAGGGTTTGTTGTTGTTAAGAGCTGTCGTGTCAATTCCAACTTACAGCAACCCTTTATAGGGTTTCCAAGGAGCAGCTAATAGGTTTGAACTGCCAACCATGTGGTTCACAGTCCAGTGTTTATCCTACATTGCCACACCATAGGGTTTGCTTTTGTTGTTGTTAAGTGCTATCGAATGGATTCCGACCCATAGCGACCCTGTATAGGGTTTCCAAGGAGCAGCTAGTGAGCTTAAACCACCAGTCTTGCAGTTCAAATGACTTTGCAGTCTGATTAGCCCACAGCGCCACACTAGGGTTTGTTAGGCTGTAAATCCTTATAGAAGCAGATTGCCAAATCTTCCCCTTGAGCTGCTGCTGAACTCACGCTATCAATCTTTCAGTTAGCAGCTAAGTGCTTTAAACACTGTGCCACCATGGACTGCTTTTATATTTATAATTAGAATACCTTTTCTTTATTAGGAAATACTTAAACTAAAAGATTAGGAATACCAAATGTCCCCTCATCCCTTTGCTTATGTGAAACCACATTAATTCAGTTAAAATCATGCCTACAGCTCACATTTATTTTGCAGAGTGAAATCCATATGTCTGAGGAAGCTATACAGGATATATTGGAACAGACAGAATCAGACCCAGCATTTCAGGCACTCTTTGATCTCTTTGACTATGGTAAGTAGAACATTTCCTTTGAGGAAAGGTAGTAGAAAAGTTTCTCCAAATTCTTGGTAACCAAAGTAAAGCAACATTCCTGAGAGCGTCTGAAAATTTCCTGTTTCCATTATAGTAAATATTAGCTGTATACACGTGAAAGGGTATGTGTTTGGGTTTTAGGTCTTTTGTGGGTTTTTTGGTTGTTTTTGTTTATATTTATTTATAACTATAAATATGGGAGGTGATTTTGATTTCTGTTTCTGTGAGTGTTTTTGGCAGTCAAAAGGAGTATATTGAGATACACAACTGTATATGCATTATTCTAAACATTGTAGAATATTAAATACAAAAGGAAGGCAAAACCTGGCCATTGCTTTCCATCTTGTGGTTTAGTACAGTCGTTCACAAAGTGTAGTTCCCACAACAGCAAAGTAAACATTAGGAGCTTATTTAAAATGTAAATGATTAAACCCTCCAGGTGATTGTCATAAATGCTGAAGAACTACTAGTTTGTATGAAAAATCGTGTTCTTATATAAATCAACGTGTTTGAAAACACCCATAAGACCATAATTAAAACCAAAGTTTTTGACATTCCCTTGACCACTGTCAAGCAGTATTGATGCATATCTTTTTTTTAATTTATTTATTCACTTGTTTCCATATTCCCTTTTTAACAGGTAAGACAAAGAGTAATAAAAATATACCACAAGGCATTTCCAGTCAGCACATGGAATCCAATCCCAATGTAGTCTTAGCAGATGAAACTAATCTAGCAGTTAAAAGTCCTTTTGAAACCGAAGCATCTGGTAAGAATTTGGTTTTGTTAATATACTCAATCCCAATCTTAATATTTTTCTCCGATTTTCAAAAGCAGAAATATTAATTTGAAAGTTGTACAAATTGTTACATAGATCACTTTTATTAACCTCTACTTTAATCTTTACTTTTTAAGAAAAATAATTACTCCGTATTTAGCATTGTAATTAAAAAGTAAATTTTCCTTATTCATTCCTTTTTGATGCAGTAGATTTTTGACACGCTCAATATGATACTGTTGACCAGTTGTACAAAAGTCTTTAACATTTAACATAATTTTACTTAGCATAAATTAATATCCAATTCTTGGTATGATGAATAGGATAAGCACTGGACCACAAGGTCATTTTGAACTGCCTGGTCAGTAGTCCATACCCACCAGCCACTCTTCAGAAACCCTATCCAGAGTTGCTATGAGTTGGAACTGACTCAACAGCCCTTAACAATAACAGTAATTTGTAAGGTTGGTATGCAGGTATCAGTCAGTCGTATAAGTGACTGCTCAGTGTCTGTATCTCATCTGTCTAGGAGAAATTGTATACTATAGTGATAGTTTGGGAATTTGAGGGCTTATGAGGTTTTCAGTTTTAACTGCTATGTGTGTACTAAGATTTTTTTTTCATTTCTGTTTTCTGTGGCATACCAACGTAGCATATAAATTATTAGGCTCCATCGAGTCAGTTCCGACTAACAGTGACCAGTACAACAGAATAAAACTGTCCCATAGTGTTTCCTAGGCATATGATAAAAATTATTAATGAAGAAAGGCAGTGAATAAGTTCATCTAGACTGTTTGGCTAAAAGGTTGGCAATTCATATCCACCCAGAAGCACCTTGGCAGACCTGGAAATCTATTTCAGAAAAGGTACTACCTTGAAAACCCTATAAACGCAATTCTACTCTGATGAATGTGGGGTCACTGTGAATTCAAATCGACTGAACTTGACACTAACTAACAACAACAGATTTAAAATACTTGCCAGATTTTTGAAAAACATATTGTTACCTAACCTTGAGAGCTTGATAATCAGAACTCAACTAGAGGAAGATTAAAATAAGAACAAAACACATTTTGATAAAGGAAATGCAGGTACATTGATACAATTTGATGGACTAGACTTATACTCAGTGTGTTGTTGTTGTTAAGTGCTGTCGAGTTGGCTCCAACCCATAGCGACCCTGTGTAGGGTTTCCGAGGAGCAGCTATTGAACTTGAAGCACCGACCTTGCATTTCAAATGACTTTGCAGTCTGGCGCATTAACCCACAGCAACACACCAGTACTCCATGAAGATAGTAACTCTAAATACCAGCAGAGAGGGAAGGAGTCTTAACATCAAGTATCAATGCTATCCCTTCTCTACACAGGCAACTTAGACATATTGGCTACTTAATGAGGGGGCGATAAAAGCATGGAGCAACTGGCATGCAAGGTTTCAAGGGAGAGCTTAGTTTAATAGCGTGTGGGGAAAGAAAGAGTCCCCACTGAATAGTTTTCATCTTGTCTATATGGGTCTGGTTAAAAGAGATGGGGATAAGAGTCATGTGATTCGATAGTAATTTTTATCATGACTAATTGTGACAGTCACAATTGTAAAGGTAGAAGTTTTGTAACAAAAACAGGGAGTGGTTAATCTTACAGTCCACAATCAGGACCCTAGGATCATCAAAGGAGAACAGCACAAGCAGAATGATGAAGGCAGAGATGGGGCCATGGAGAGAGGGAGCAGCTAAGGACTCTAGATTCATGGGAAGTGAAGGATTAAGATGGCGGCCAGGAGGCAGACTTGCAGAATGTGCCCTTTGGTGGTTTAAATTATTATATATGGCTTGAGTGATTTAAAAAAAAAAAAAGCTAAAGTGAATAGAGAGAAACACTGGTAACTGATTGTACTTGGACGGTATTATAATCATTGTAATGAAACAAGGTGTATAATTTGTTGAATGTAAAACTGATGATCTACCCTGGAAATTTTTACTCACACCTTTGAAATTTTTACTCAATTCACAATAAACTTAAATTTAAAAAACACACATATTGTTACTGTGAAAAACAATGCATAGGCACAGTGTGCAATTCATAAAGCAAATACCCTTGTAACCATTCCCCAAGTGAAAGAATAGAACATTGCCAACACCACAAAAAGCCCACTTCTCACACCTTTCTATCACTACTCCCTCTGTCCCTATTCCTCAGAGAATACAAATACTATTATACTAGCTTCTTATACTTTTGAAAAACTTTTTTGCCTTTTCAATTCTGCCTCTATCCTGTCTACAGATGTTGTTGTTGTTGTTGTTGTTAAGTGCTGTCGAGTCGGTTCCGACCCATAGCGACCCTGTACAGGGTTTCCAAGGCTATAAATCTTTACAGGAGCAGAACACCTCATCTTTCTCCTGCGGAGCAGCTGGTAGTTTCAAACTGCTGGCCTTAAGGTTCACAGCCCGATTCGTAACCACTACGCTACCAGAGCTGTGCGAAATTTGTCTTCCTTCTCACCTGTGTTTTAAATGTCACCTCTGATTCCCATGCTGAAAAAGCCTAAAGGCTTTCAAATGCCATGTTTTGTCTTTTAAACGTTTGTGTTCTGATATCTCAGGCTACAATGCCCCTTTGAGTTTTCTACCTATTATATATAATATCAAGCCCAGTCCTCCGTTTCTTCTTAGGCTGAATATAGTTGAATGTGAATGTATCTTTCTCAAGAGCCTTGGTGGCACAGTGGTTAAGCACTCCAATGTTAACTGAAAGGGTGAAAGCTGTGACAGTCTGCTTCCATAAAGATTACAACCTTGGAAACCCTATGGGACTGTTGTGCTTCAGTTAACCTACACACTACACAAATGACACTAAACATCTTTCTTCTTAGAAAGTCTTCCCACTTTATTAAGAGTGTACTACTTCCCCAGTTTTTTGTTGCTAGACATAATTTCCACTATTCTTCCCCAAATAGAGATACTGTGTGCTCTTCACCAAATATCGCTTTACCAGTGTCATAAACAGCATTATATGATAGTCGACATAGTTTTGTTTGTTCCCCCTCTCTATTTTCATTTGGTTTATGTTAATGTTCTCTGTCCTAAACTGTAACTGCTGTAAAACACAGTGTATCATTGCTGTGGTAGTGTTTTTGAAATGCCCTTTCCTCTCATACCATCTATCACGTTTCTATTTATTTTTTCAAGATCATGAATGCAGTATCATTTTTATAACATTTTTCAGGTCTCCTGGGCAGAAAGAAGTGCCTTTGTTCCTGTGCTGTTACAGTTATTACCATGAAACAACTTGTAACTTTCTGTTCTGTACCTGCTTTCCTGACTAGACTGATAGTTCAAGGGCAAAGACTGGATTGCTCATTTTTCTGTGTGAATACCAACCACAGGGTTTTCCTTAGTAAATGTTTATTGAATGTTAAATAGTATACAATGAGGTCAAATACTGATTATACAAAATATACTTTGCTCCATTTCACCTGTAAAAATACAGCAGATATTTAATCAAGTCTATGAAATGGTAGAAGTTGAAAAGTCAGCTGTTAACTGAAAAAAGTGGATGTTTGGAGCTAGTACTTCTAAATTCTCGGTATGCAGAAAATGGGGGATAGAGTTTGCCAGCCTTTACTTTCTAGTATGTCAAAGATTAGTTACTTCATGGCGAATGTGTTTTGTAGTAAAAATGTCTTCCTCAGAAGTTTGACCATAACCACTATATCTTTCTACCATCCTGATATTTTGCAGATGATCAATCTAATCAGCTCCCATTTTGTACATATCAAAATGAAGATACATCAAACACTTTGAAGAATAGCAGCAACCCTGATGAGCTTAAACAGGAAGCCCAGGAACATTTTTCTCAAATAGGCTCTAGCATTCAAAAAAAGGCCTTTAAAACAGCTGGACCTATGGAACAGAAGTGTAACCTTGACATTACCTTTGAGACTGTGCCTGACTTGAATGACTTTAACCAAAGAGGAAATTCTGATACTGTATGTAGCCAGCATTGTACTGAATTATATACCAGTCAAATGTCCACCGAGACTGAAATGACTATGGAAGTTGACAAAAATCCTTTGCCTTCAAATGTGCCCAGTGACTCTCAGTTACAACCTGACCAGTCTGATATACAAATAGCTTCATTTATTTCACTTGGTGAAACCAACAATGAAAACTTAATTCTCTCTGGAAAAGGTTCACAACTTTTATCTCAAAATCCATCTAAAAAAAGTCCATTTTGTGAAACTCCTAATGATACAGTAAGACTTAAAACTAATTTTCATGGTTCCAAGTCACCAGATTCTAGTGAAATCCACCAGAATAAAAATGAAATAAATAATGTATTACCTATTGCATCGCAGCAACTTTCAGATTGCCAAGATAACTCTTCACTTCCAAGTAAACTATTATGTGTATCTGTTGAAAATTCAGGTTTAAATATATCTGAACAACAAGTAGATATTTGTCTTGGAGATCCAGTAACATCAGTTAAATTACCTAATGATTCGCTGTCAGTTGAATTAAAGCATACAGAAAATGGAACTCAGCCGTCAAAGTCTGAGAAAGCTGCTTTAGATTCACAAGAGTCTTCAGCTTCTGTTAAAGAAAATGGAGATACTATTTTTCTCTCTTTGAGTGAAAGTAATAATTGTGTTGAAGTGGCTTTGATGCCTCCAGAGGGTAATCCTGTAGAAGATAGTCACTCTCTTCCTTCAGAATCTCTGTGTCCCTCAATGGGAGATTCTAATGTTGAGTCGCAAAATACTGGTGATAAACCTAGGGACAACTCAACAGAGATAGATGCATCGAATATTGTCTCTCTCAAAATTATTATCAGTGATGACGCATTTGTTCCCTCAGATACTGAACTCAGCAGTGTTGTATCTAATAATATCAGTGGAGAAAACTTGCCAACTATAATATTATCTTCTGCCAAATCATCTACCAAAAATACAGAATTAGTTAAATGCCTATCTTCTGAGGAAACTGCAGGTGCTGTTGTATCTGCTGAACGAGTGGGAAATTCACCCTCAGTGGAGCAGGGTCTGTTAACACTCAAACCTGAACACGCTACAATAAGCAACCTTCAGAGTGAAGACAGCAACACTACTTCTGCAAATGTTGCATCAGGTGTATCTAAGGATGCAGGATATATACAGTTGATGCCAGCTACAAGCGCAACTTTTGGCAATTCAAATAATATACTAATAGCTACCTGTGTGACTGACCCAACAGCCTTGGGAACAACTGTAAGTCAGTCTAATGTTATGGTGTTGCCTGGAAATTCTACACCTATTGCTGCTCAACCTCCAGTACCTCAGTTACAGACACCTCCAAGGCCAAACAGTTTATTTGCTGTCAGCCAAACTATGTCACCAAACTTTTCCCAAGGTAACTTTAAAAACATACTGAATTTTCCTATGGAATAGAATCTTAATTTCTCTTGTGTGTGGAATTATTGACTAAGAGGGTAATCATGAGTAGGTAATATGAGAAAACTCTTCTTAAATTTACTCTAGCTAATTAATCTGGTAAAATGTGTTTCTTTGACTGTATATTATTTTCTCTATATAAGTACTTCCCAGTCCACATGCTGATAAACTTCTAAGAGAGAGAATAATTTAAAAAAGACTAATTCATCAAGTCTCCGTGTACCTAGTGAATTAAGTTATTATAATCTCAGTTTTCACAGAATTAACTATTTGGATAGACTTTTCAAGACAAAGCCTGAGTATCCCTTCATAAAAAATTTGTCATTTCTACTTGTCTTCCATCTTCCATAATTGATCTCTGTCTTTAGACCCTCTTCTACTTAGGGGTCTTGTGGTATTTATTACATGCAGTTTTATGTGAAGTTACTGATTGATAGATCTGTTATTTTGGTCGTTCTTAATTGTAAGTTCCTGAAGGGCAGAGCTTATGATAAGTCACTTGACAGTGGTTCGTGAAAAGATTCATTTTAGGACAGGACTAAATTATAGTTGTAGGTCATGTTGTTGATTTTAAGTACCATGTAGGCAATATGATTTTCCCTCAGTTTTGGTTCATTGTATACACACTTGATCCCTTTTTGACCAGTACTGTTGAAATAATAGTTTAGGGGGTTATGAGGATACTGGAGTAGAAAGTGTTTTAAAAGTGAGAAAATAAACAGATGTAGTAGAAAGATGTCTCAGACTTTAAATGATTTGTCAGATCACACACATTTGATGCCTGCTCACACCGTCTCTGGTGGCTGTGCTGTACTTTCAAAGGCCTGCCCCTTGCCAATGGCTAATCATCATAAATAGTTAGAAGATCTTGAACTGTGTATATTTTTAGTTCAGATCTTAATTTTATAGTACAAGTTTCGGACTTGCAGCATTCACCACCAATTTTCTGATCAATTCCATTGTTCTCTCTAAAAAAGTCAAGTTATAGTTGTACTGTGATCCCTGGCTATAGAGTCTTATGTTTGCTCATGATATTTACCCTGACAAATGTAGTAATAAAACCACCTTCAGATTGATTCCCTTAATTAGTTAGCTTTTTGATGTTATTCATAATTTTTTTTTATTTTAAAGAGTAAATTATAAAGAAGAGTGGATTATAATTTTATAGGTTTTATTTCATAGTAATGACTTTAGTATTTTGTGTTTATAAAGGGTAAATATTATCTTACTGAGAACTGTGGTTTGTTTCTTAGGATCTGCTATCATAATTGCTTCTCCAGTCCAGCCAGTTCTTCAGGGAATGGTGGGAATGATCCCTGTATCTGTAGTTGGGCAGAGTGGAAATCGCTTTTCTGCTCCTCCTCGGCAGGTAAGATTTTTAACTGAAAATGGAGCAGTGGAACTTTTCAGACAGTATGATCAATGGCTTTTTCTCTTCCAGGTTCTTCATATGCCTTTGGCAGCACCTGTATGCAACAGAAGTATCCCTCAATTCCCCGTCCCTCCAAAATCTCAGAAAGCTCAGGGACTCAGAAATAAGCCTTGTACAGGTACCTTTATAATTGGTTCATGTCATCTTTATGTCTTTGTATTTATTGGTTTGTAGCAACCCCTGAATATTTTCTTTTTGAATACCCACATCATTTCTATTAAATGTTCATCCAGCTTTTACTTAAAAGTTTTTCTATAGATGTCACTAGAAAGCCAACTTGGTTATTGGACAGATCTGATTCAGACAATGCTGTTTCTTTTGTGAAGTCCTTTTACTTTTTTACTCTCATCCTAGGTTTATCCTTTGAAGTTTCCCAAGATTAGCATAATCCTTATTTTTCCCTAACATATAATTGTATGATACTTTGTAGAAGTACGTTTCAATTTTTTTATCTGTATGTGCTACCTCTTGTTAAAGTACAGATACTGAATTAATGGGGTTGGCACAGAACTTCTGATTCCACATTTCTAACAAGCTTCCAGCTAATGTCACTGTGGCTTGTACTAGGCCACTGAGCAGCAAGACTTGCAGACCGTTTATGAAAACTTCATTTTTCCTCTGCTGAACTCCTATTGTATATTGCCTGCCCTGTCACTCATGTGTCTGCCCTCTAACCCATGAGTAATTCACCCCTTCACTCCCATAACCATCATAAATTGTTTATCAAGAATCTTTTTTTTAACTTTTTACAACATTGGTCTCATACGAGGCTTGTCCTTTTGTTATTGACTAATTTCACTCAGCCTAATGACCTCCTGATTCAACCATGTTCTGAGATGTTTCACAGATTCATCATTATTCTTCAATGTTTTATATTCTGTTGTGTATATGTACCAGTGTTGGTTTAGCCATTCTTCTGTTGGTGGGCATTTAGGCTGTTCTCATTTTTTTTAATGTTTTATTGTGAATTATGTGATAGTTTATATGGGAGAACAGTTTTACGTTCATTCTATCGTATATCGTCTCATTGCCATGGTTACAATCCCCTCCATGCAATCCTTCCCCCATACCCCCCAGGTCTTCAGCATACAGTCGCTCTCCCTCTCTGGATCTAAAGTCTCCAGCTGCTCCATCGCTCCACGTCATCATCTCTGCCTTCATTTCAGGCGTCACTGCTTCTCTGGGTAGAGTCCCACTCTCTGCTCTTCTCCCTTGATGGTCCTAGGGACCTCCGCTCCTAGACTGAAAAGTTAATCACTCCCCTCCTTGCTATAAAACTTCTACCTTTACATTTCCGACCCTCACAAACAGTCCTGATAACAATTATTCACTATTGTATCACAAGAGACCCGTCTGCATTTCATTGCATCAGCCCCAGCTAGTCAGATTGAGTACTACTCACCGGAGATTCTACTTTCCTCCAGGCCCTCTGGATCTAGGCTCCCTCTTGAAAGCTTGTAAGCCAGTCACTTCTTGCCTTTGTAGCCCCCTGTCCCCCATTTTGGGTAGCCAATGTCCAAGTTGCCCATCCCTGTCTACTCTGTGTGTGGAGGGGGTGGGGATGATTCTTGCTGTAAGTATTTGTTCCCTCTTTTGAGCTACTGCTTCCATAGGTGTAGGTCAAGTTCATCAAATTGTATGCGAATACTTTTTTTTTTTTTTTTTTTTCCTCTTTTTATTTCTGGTTGAGCTCTGATCATCCAGTCATTGAAGACAGGATAAGTGGGTATTATCTGCAAGTGTGGGTGTTTTTATGCATATGCCCTCTCTTCTTATCAGCTGGACGCTTCACTCTCCACTCTAGTCCTCTGTGGCTATGTCACTGACTCTGGGCCCAAGAGTCCCCAGGTCTTGCCACACTGCTGGCTAACCAGGTCTTCACCCAGGTTCACAGAAGTCTATTGAATGTTGTAGGGCTTAGCTCACCACTTCATTGCTGTTTTTCCCTCACTTCCCCTTATCGGTGTCGAACGTGGTCACCAATCACAGCGTGTATTCCCGTTGAGTCTTAGTCTTGGAAGGGGGTTTGCACTGAGGGGACCCGACCACTTGTCTTGATGTTTCTTAGGCAAGCAAGTTGCTTGTTCTTGTAGTAACAGTCGGTCTGCCTATGTTGTTTTGTACTGTTTTCATCTTTTTGATATGCCTCTCTTGTAAGTAGCATATTGAGGGGTCCTGTTTTCTTATCCATGCTTTTCTTTATGTCTCTTGACTGGTATGTTTAAGCCATTTACATTCAGTGTAATTATCAATAGGTATGAGTTGATTGTTGTCATTTTCCTTTGTGGGTTTTGTGTGTGTGTGTGGTGCTGCTGGATTCTTTGATCCACATAATTTTCTATGGTGAGTTCATTTTGTTTGTGGGTTTTCTTTTCGTTTCCATTTCTGTTGTGTTATGTGGACTAATGGACCACATAAACATCAGTCTCCATGACCCTGAAATCAGAAGCACTAGATGGTACCCAGTTACCACTACCAACTGCTCTGAAAAAAAATAGCATTAGAATGTCCTGGATAAAATGGAAGAAAATAGTGTAACAAAACTCAAAATCATAAAAAGGACCATTAGTCAGATACAAACTGCTATACCCTGAAACTATGACTTCTTAGTCACCCTTCAGGGATCTGGAAATGAATTTACCCCCCGGGCTCAGTTTTCAGCCAAACAATAGACAGTTCTATAGGGGGAACAGTAATATAGTGAAGTACCTCACACCTTAGAATAATATACCGTTTGAGGTCAAAAAGGATAGCATTTGCTCTAGGACAAAGTTCAGAAGGGCTAGGAAAGAACAGAAAACAAGAAGGAAACTGGTTAAGTTACGATACACTGTGGGAATTGTCATCAATGACGTGAAACAGTGTGTCTGAATTGTTGAATGGAAAACTGATATACTCTGTAAACCTTCACCCAATTTACAATAAAAACTTAAAATTTAAAAAAAGACCTGTGTTCCACCTGTTCATCTTTACCCCCTCCTCCTAACCTCCTGCCAACCACTGATCTTTTTACTGTTTCTTTAGTTTTGTTTTTTCCACAGTGCCGTGTAGGTGGAATCATGCAATATGTAGCTATTTCAGTCTGAGTTCTTTAACTTAGCAGTATGCATTTAGGCTTCTCCACATCTTTTTGTGGCTGAATAATGCATTGTTTTTTATTGCTAACTGATAGCCCATTGTATGGACATACCACCATTTGTGTTATCTGTTCACCATTTGAAAGACATCTTAGTTTGACAACAGTCTTAGTTATCTTCATAACTGTCCTCTTCATAATCATATCCACTTGGTCCTTTCCACACATGGGATCTATCCAACTATCTCTGCTTATACACCTGAGCTCCTTAGCATTGCTTTACAAGTTGCTATGAGCTATGGAGTAGGTTCTGACTCATAGGGACCCTTTACAGGTACCACTTAGAAATCTGTTTCTCACCCTTTCTGCCACTTAGCAGTCAGGTGTAAAACACCTATCTGCTTTTCTTTCCATTCTCTTGTCACACTATTACAGATTTTCTCCATGAAAGAGGAGGCAGTCTGTTCCCATACAAATGTATAGCCTTCAAAATGACAGAGCAGTTCTCCTCTGCCCTGTAGTGCCCTTGTTAGTTGGAATTGACTCAGTAGCGGTGGGTTTGGTTTTCACTAGTTCTTTGTAACTTCAGATCTTTGGAATCAACATATCTAAGTCTTCCTCCTCCTCAAAGGCCTGCCCTGTGTATTCTTCCCCTTTTTTCTTGATCACTCTCAACACTGATTCCAATTATTGCCCAGATCCTATCAATTCTCGATCTTAAATCACTTATTAAATATCCTTACTTGTTGCTTCTAAGACCCTCATCTATTCTTACCTGGATATCTCCAGCCATCTAATTAGAATTTCTGCTTCTAGTTTTCTCTTTTCTAGTCCATTTTTCACACTAGTACCAGAGTGATCTTTCTCTAACAATTCATTGTTCTTACTATTGAGGATTCTCTTTTTCTCTGCAAGGTGAAATCTGAGGTTTTAGCATTATACACAATATCATCTTTGCTTTCATTTTAAGCCTAATTTATTGCTGCTCTCCCACATTAACCCTGAAGTACATAGAAATTAAGATCTAGCTGTTAGTACTCCAGAGCATATGTTCCCAGTGATGCAAATTTACAAACCTAGTTAAATGCAGAAAGTCTTTAAATATGTATAATATATTGCTTTCTTTTTCTGCATCTAAATAGTATTTTTAATGTGTTAAATATGGTTTTTCATAGTTTCAAAGACTAGGTTTGTAATGTTTGTCTGAGATTGAAGCAAGTCATATGTTCCATATTTAAATTTCCGTTTTCGCTTAAAAGCAGCCCTGGTTGTGCATTGAGTAAATGCTCCACTGCTACCCAAAAGATCAACAGTTCAAACCCACCATTGCTCCTCAGGAAAAAATGTATCTCCATTGAGTCAACAGCTGATGAGTTTTGAACTGCCAGCCTTGTGGTTCAAACTGACCTTGCAGTCCAGTACATTAACCCACAGCACCACACGAGGATTCCTCTGTAAAGATTAGGGCTTTGGAAACTATGAGGCAATTCTCCTTTGTCCTGTTGTTGTTGCTAAGTGCTGTTGAGTCGATTCCGACCCATAGCGACCCTGTATAGTGTTTCCAAGGAGCAGCTGGTGAGCTTGAATCACCGACCTTGTAGTTCAAATGACTTTGCAGTCCGACGCATTAGCCCACAGCATTACACCAGGACTCCCCTTTGTCCTATTGAGTTCTTATAAGTTGGCAACGGGTTTGATTTTGGGTTATCTACCGTCACACCCAGTAAAGTTATCTTGTGTTAACTATTAAAAAGTTAGATTTCTTCATCATTTGTTATTGTGGTAATATACATAACAAAACATACACCATTCCAACAATTTCAACATGTACAATGTACAATTCAGTGACATTGATCACATTCTTCTAGATGTACAACCATTCCCACTATCCTTTTTCAAATCATTCCATCACTATTAACATAAACTCTTATGTCTCCTAAGCAGAAACTCCTCTTTTCTCCTTCCTTTCAACCCTCTTGTAACCACTAATAACCTGGTTTTAATATTTGCTACAATATTTGTCCTTTTGACTTAGGTCCCAGCATATTGCTTTTGAGGTTCGTCCATGTTATGACATGCATTAGGACTTCAGTTCTCTTGATGGTTGAGTAGTATTCCATTGTGTGTTGATACCACGTTTTGGTTATCCATCCATTTGCAGACTAATGTTTTGGCTGTTTTCACCTTTTAACTACTATGAAAAGTGCTGTAGATTTCTGTTAGAATTCCAGCCTACACTTCATCTAGCTACATGCCTGGAATTGGGGTTGTGGGGACATAACGTAGTTTTATATTTATCTTCAGGAACAAACAAACTTTTTCACAGTGACTGTATTGTACCATTGTACATTCCTGCAAGCAGTGGTTCAAAGTTCCAGTTCTTAACAGCCTTGTCAATACCTGTTGTTTTCTGTCTGGTTGGTTTTATGTTTTGGTTTTTTAGTATTTTGACCAATTTTTTTTTATTAAGTTGTTTGCCTTTTGTTATTAAGCTGTAGAGTTGTTTTTGGTTTTTTTATTGGGGGGGGATTACACGCTTATTGTATATATGGTTCTTGAATTTTTACTAAGTATCTGGAGGTTGTCTTTTTACTTTTTTGATAAAAACCTATCAATGAACAAAAACGCTTAATTTTTATGATCCATTGATCTATTTTGTCTTTTGCTGTCATAGCTAATAACCCATTGTTTAAAACTGGACCCCACTGCCACGCCCCTACATTCATTTTCTTCTAAGAATTTTATGGTTTTTGTTTTCACATTTAGGTCTTTGATGCATTATGAATTCATTTTTGTGTTTGACCTGAGCCTTGGATCCTATTTTATTATTTTGCATGTTGAAATCAGTCTTCTCAGCACCATTTATTGACGAGACTCTTTCTTCCCCATGGAATGGTACCCTTGTCGAAAATCAATTGACTGTTGATGTATAGATTTATTTCTAGACTTTATATTTCTTTGGTTTATGTGCCTATTATAATAGAACTAGACTGTTTTAATTACTATAATTCATAATAGGTTTTGAAATCAGTAATTGTCAATCCGCCTACTTTATTTTTTAATGATTACTTGTGGTCCTTTGCATTTCCATATAAATTTGAGGATAGCCTTTTCTGTTTTTCTAAAAATGGCTGTTGGAAATTCGATAGGGACTGTGTTGAATTTATAGATTGCTCTGGGTAGTAATTTACAAGTATGCCTGAGTCCTCCATTTCTCAAACAAATGTCCTTCCATTTATTTTTATTGTTCGTAATTTCTTAAAGTGATGTTTTAAGTTTTCTCTGTATTAAGTCTTTTACCTTCCTAGTTAAATTCATTACTAGGTACTTTATTCTTGTACATGCTATTGAAAATTATAATGTTTAATTTCTTTTTCTGCTTGATCATTGTGTAAGCATAGAAAGCTGACTGATAACTGTGTATTGACTTATACCTTGCCAGTTTGCTGACTTGATTTATTCTCATACCTTTCTTACGAATTCTTTGGAATTGCTTTTGTATAGGATTGTGTCATATGCAAAAACGGATAGTTTTACTTCCTATAGAGCTACTTTTTAGTCAGTATGTTAAATAAAATATTTTATTTGTTCAACTGCCCAACATTTTTTCTCATTATGTATGCTGTTGTGATCTAACCTCTGTCTTGAAGTGTACATTATATTTCTCAAGATTTTTTATTTTCTAATTAATTCATTTATAATTTTAGGAAAACAGGTAAATAACTTGGTGGAATCTTCAAATCAGTCAGCTGGATTTCTTGCACAAAGGTAAACATAATAGTCGTTTCTAATCATAAATTATAGGAGTGCTTATTAGATTCAAAACAAAAAAGATGATTTATATTGCTCCAAGTAAAGTTTTTGTTTTTTGTTTTTGGTAGAACTGAAATTTCTGACAAGAATATGGCCACAGATCTTGGAAGGAAATTGGACGAAAGCACAGTTCCCTTCTCAGGAGAGAGTACAGTGCCAACAAGCAAGCCATTTGAAAGCCACAGACGGGTGCTCTGTTTTGATAGCACTGCTCCTCTTGTGGGAAATACACCGGGACCAAACCATAAGGTGGTGTCCCAAAACAAAGAAAAGAATGAAACTTCATTTCCTAATCTTGACTCTCCTATTGCATCCTCCCCCTTAAAATCTCCTTCAAATAATGCTATCAAAAAAGACAAAGAAAAACCTCCAGTGCCTAAGCTTTTATCTAAATCAGAAGCTGCCATTAACCGGCATACCACTGTAAGAGAAGCGCAGCCAGAAAAGAAAGCTTTGTCAACAGAAATTGTGCTTGAATCTTTCCATAAAGCAACAGCGAATAAGGAGAATGAATTGTACAGGGATATGGAAAAGCAAAAAAATCCAGAAACTACAAAACTGTCTAATGGTCAGCAAAACGGGAGTTCACGGAATGAGAAAACGGTGGCTTCGTTACAAGAACTCACTAAAAATCAGGGCACATCCTCAAACAGTAAAAATGTCATTTCAGTAGGAGCTGCTGTGAAGGATATAAAACAAGAACAAACTAAATCTGCCAGTTGTCTGATTAACCCATTAACCAAACATACTACAGAAATGTTACAAGATGGTCAGTGGCATAGCCCATTAAGTAGGCTTGCTGACGGTGCTGACTTACCACCTGTACCCCGGACACCTGGCTCAGGGGTAGGGGAGAAACATAAAGAAGAACCTACAGATGGTATCAAGGTCCCAAGTAGTCGGCGCATCGGAGAAGACAGTAGCACAACCAAAGTAATGGTACCTCCTGTCACCCTAGACTTGCCTGCTTGCAGCCCTGCCAGTGAGACGGGGAGTGAAAACAGTGTGAGCATGGCCGCCCATACCTTAATGATCCTCTCCAGGGCAGCCATCTCTAGGACTACTTCAGCAACTCCTCTCAAAGATAACACACAGCAGTTTAGATCTTCAAGGAGCAACACAAAAAAGCGGAAAATTGAGGAGCTAGATGAATGTGAGCGCAACTCACGTACGTCTAATAAAAATCTTGGCAATTCGTCAGTACCAATGAAAAAGAAGAAAATTAAGGCAAGTTTGAAAGTTTTTATCTTTGGAATTCAATTTGGCCTTTCATTAATAAACAGATTAGAGAGCTCAGCATTTATTTATTTATTTATTTATTTTTGCCACAGCTATCTAACCAAACTGATGGACTGCTTTGAATTTCAATTCATAAAATACATACATAAGCCGGTTTCTCAGCCAGTGTGATCCTAAAAGTTGCCTGGGAGAAACCAAGCAATTTCAAAACCAATTTATATTTGTCTCTCTTAGTGTCTGAGTTAACTAATGCTGCTATGACAAATAACCACAAGTGTGTGGCTTTAACAAATCAATTTATTTTCTCACAGTTTAGGGGCCTAGATGTACAAACTGAGGGCACTGACTCTTAAGTGAAGAGGGCTCTCTCACTCTGCTCTGGAAAAAAGTCCTTGTCTCTCATCAGCTTCTATTCCTAGCTTCCTTGGCAGTCATGTGGCTTGTGTTTTCCCCTGTTCTTGCTTGCTTGCTTGATCTGCTCTTTTATATCTGAAAAGAATGCGAATATTGCTTCATTAACATAACAAAAACCCCTTCCCAAATGGGACTGTAACCCACAGGTATTAGGGTTTAGAATTATAGTTTATTTGGGGGGACATATCTGTATAAGGAGCTCTGGTAGAGTAGTCGTTATGAATTGGGCTGCGAACCTTAAGGTCAGCGGTTCGAAACTACCAGCCGCTCCACGGGAGAAAGATGAGGCTTTCTACTCCCGTAAAGATTTACACCCTCGGAAACCCTGTGCAGGATCGCTATGGGTCAGAACCGACTCAACAGCACTTAACAACAACAACAACATCTGTATAATATTTGGGAAAAGCAGCATTCAAATTTTTATTATATAGCCATGTTAGATTTTTTTTTTTTTTTTTTTTTGCAAGAATGACGTAGGAATGAAACATTAAGAAACCACTCTTGTGTGCAGAATTGCCAAGTAGAAAATGACAAATGTGGAAGTATCACTGAGGTATAGTCACTTAAAACTTGTGTACTTCCCTCTAGAACTAAAATTCTAATGAATTAAAACTTGCCAATTTACTAATATATGAAGAACCCAGTAGAACGGTGTAGTGGTGGTGGTAGTGTGCTGTGCAGGTGGTTCCGACTCATAGTGACCCCGTATTGGGTTTCCAAGGCTGTAAATCTTTATGGAAGCTGAAAGCCTCATCTTTCTCCTCCAGAACAGCTGGTAGTTTAAAATTGCTGACCTTGAAGTTAGCAGCCCTACTCTTAACCACTACGCTACTAGAGCTCCTTAATAGAAGGTTGTAAGTGACTTAATAAGAACATTGGGGCATTGTTTGAATTCACAATATTAAGTTGGGTTTATGGTTTTCTTTTTCTCCCTTTTTTTTCTTTTTTCTTTTGACAGAAAAAGAAGCTACCCAGTTCATTTCCAGCTGGAATGGATGTGGACAAATTTTTGTTATCATTGCATTATGATGAATAAACATTCTGAACATATACAAACCGTAGTTATTTAAAACTGGTATCCCTTAAACTATGAGTGTAGGGAATGACAGACATATTGACAGAATCTGAAAGCATGACCTGCACTTTCATTGAACTGATATTTCACTTTATAGCTAAATCATGCTGTTTCTGAAGCACCTACCTAGTTTGTAAATAGACTTACCTGGAATATTTCTATTTTGGAGAAAATTTTTTTTTTTTTTTTTGCAGAAATGTAAGTAAAGCCAATCTGCAAAACTGTATAGCTTTGAAATGGTGTATTGTAAATATTGTGTAAATCTTGTTGAAATACAGGTTAAATCAACCTAATCTTCTTACACTGTGTTTTTGACATCTTATGATTCCCCAATTCTGAGGCTTATTCAGCTGGAATAGTTTCTTATTTTTAATTTGGGGAATAATAATGCTTTTCTTTATAAATTGCCTTCAGTAATTGTCCAACAAGACATTTAAAAGATCATAGCCACTAAAGTGATATCCACCTCAACTGGTAGTAAAGTACCTAATCGGAAGTCAGTAGTTGGATGGGTTTGTTTGAGTTTATGTACTTTACTACTCCTTTTAATTGCAGTAAAGATTATATTCTTGAGATTGTGCTCTTAAACTGTTTCTTCTGATTGTTCTGGTCTCTTTGCTTTAAAGAGAGAATTTTATAAAACATTTGAGTGCTTTGAGCGTTTGTTTATAATTTAAGATCTTTTGCAGAACTTTTAACTGGTGAGACTATTGAGCCATAAAAAGTTTGGTTGTATAGTGGTTGAGGTTTCTTAGTATGTATTACATACTTTCTCCTAAATACTGGGAATTTAAAGACTTGCACTAATTTATAGAACTCTTTACATAATAGTGACCAATGCACATTTAAATTAAATCTAGTATGTTAAAGTTTGTGTGAAGGATTATCTCTTGATGCCCTTTTAGAAAGCCACGGCCATCATAAGATGTAAAAAGAGAAATCATAGTTTTATATTTTAACTTAGTTTCTCCTAAAATGGGCTGTGTTAACTAGTTGTTTCTGTACTTAGATGTAGTTCATTGTCTCTGTGCCCCATAAAGTGTTATAAAGAGTTATTTTCAAAAGATCCATGAAGGGAATGAGAGAGGTGCCTTCTCTATTTTAGACTTACAGCCATCAGTCAAGTTGAAGAACTGGTGTAAACCTGTAAATGAGAACAAAAACTATAATTAGTACCCAACCAATTGTGCCTGAATATTAAAGTATGTTCTCGTAAGTGCTTTCTGTTTGATTAAATATCAGCATGTTACTTTTGTTTTTCCCTGTACAGGTGTATATATTATTACAGCGTCATCTTCCTCAACCTTTTTTTTGTTTGTTTTTTTTTTTGTACTCAGCCTTTGAAAAAACTAATTCATACTATTCTGTCACACAGTGTAAATCACGCCATCTTAATTGCTGAACCTTACTGCAGAAATTTGTGTTGTGAAACATTTTATGATGTGGCAATAGTCTCTTCCTAAAAAACTAAATATCATACAGTTAATGTGTATGTAACTCAACTTGATACTGTGCTACAGTTAGGTTTGAATAAATGTTTTCATTATTTTAAACATTTACATTACTTTATATTTGCAATCATTCTTTTTAGAAACATTAAATTCCTTTGTAAATCAGTCCTTGTCTCCTCTCTCTGGAGTTCATGTAATGCTGAAAATTAGAAATTTCTGCTCATTTAATCAATATTTGTTGAATGCCTGGTTTATATGTGCTGATACTAAGAATGCATATATAAAAAAATAAGGGTTATTCAATATTTATTCCATCAGCCAGGTTCTGCTAGGTACAGTCCTGAGTCAACTTGTACTTGGGAATCTTCAGAACACAGCCATAATCACCATTCTACCTTAGAAGTCCTAATGTTTTGAACTTAATTGTACTATTTGTACTTGGTAACCTATTGATTGTCAAATGCTCAGCGCTTACATTTCAAGGTTCAAATATATTATAAATAAGAACTTATGACTTTTTATAATGACAGGCAAAATCTAGTCTGTAGTTTGCACATTACTTACTGGTTAATGTATTCAGTATATATCAAATCTTGTAATTAAAATACTTGATTTCTAGTCCTGGTATTATTAGAACTCTTGATTATTTTAGCCCTGGAAAGTGTTATTGTTAGGTGCCATCAAGTCAATTCTGACTCATAGCAACCCTATATAGGGTTTTCCAGGAGCAACTAATCTGCCAGTGCTTATCCTACACTGGAGAATGTTAGAATTTAAGCAGGCCAGTGCTTATCCTACACTGGAGAATGTTAGAATCATTTACTGTGTTGAAATTGTACTTGAAAAGGGCCAGGAGTCTTTGAGGACTAGGGAGACCAACATTAGTATTTCGATGAGTAATTTCAGCAGTATATTGCTGTATATTCTGTGCTCCTTTCAAATGGCATCATCCTCTGACTCAGGCCCAACTTCTTAAAATCGTATTTCAAGTTTTAACTTAATTATTATGCTTCCCCTTTTCATGGTCTTTTTTTTTTTTCTTCCTATTTGTAAAAACGTATCAACTGTTTATTAGCATTTTGGTATACTTTTTAATCATTCGTTTTCCTAAGGGTTGTTTGTTTGTTTGTTTTGGGGTGCATAGTTGAACCCATACTGTAAATTGAACTTTCTACTTCGTTTTTTACTTCAAATATCAGGTATTAACAACAAATTAAAAAGGGCAGCAGTAGACATCTTTGTAAATAAATATGTGTACATTTCCTTATGAGATTATTTTAAAGAATGGAATTACCAAGTCAGAAAGTTAGTGTATATTTTTTTAAGGATTTTTGCATTTTCTTTTACTCCTTCCATTGCATGTGCTTATGAATGAAATCCCTTCCTGTTAGAGATACATTCAACTGTATCGTCACTAGTTTCTATGTTTTTATTTCTTGATTTGTTATAATTAGGAGAGTTTCTCTCCTAATCCATACGTAATTTGTATACCAGTCATGAAGTAAGGATCAAAGTACATTTTTTCCCTACATATTTAGCCACTTGTCTTGGCACAGTCTGTTAAAATTATCCTTCCTACCCCCACCATTTATTTCTGTTATTCTCTGCAGACCTGTGATCAATTATTTCTAAAATCCAAACATCTCTGAAAACCTTTCCCCTAAATTTGACAGTAGATCTCACTTCATGGTAAAACCTGACTTGAATTGGCATGACACAACTTGTACTTTTTATTGTGTTTTGTATGAATGGTCACATTTTGCTATGAAAGTAATAGTATTCTCAGAGTGCTATTTGAAACTCCAGTTGAGATATTACTTTTTAAAATCCAAAGCCTTCTAAATTTTTAATTATTTAGCTAACTGTAAAGGTCTATGACAAAGCACTGTCAATCTCTATTAAGTTTATATAAAACATACACACCCTGTTTACTACAATGTAGATTCTGGAATCCTGGTGTAGTATAAGCTCTGTAGGCACCACTGTTCTTTTTCTTCAAGTATTTTTATTCCTTGTGGTTGAGTTTTTTTAATGACATGTATCTTTTAAATTCGCTTAGAATATTGATTAGAAATATGACTCTTGCAAATTGATACTGAAGGAAAGAAATGGTGTTGTTTATATTATATATTAATAAAGTTTTATAGTTATCTCCATCATAAATTTCTTGCTTAGCCGTGTATTTTGTTGCCACTTGAAGGGAATTAATTACGTTTTGTTTTCTAACTGGATATTTATTTCTATTATAAAGAAAAGTTACTGTTTTTAGTTGTATAAACTTTTTATGAAAACAGAAAAAGTCTGCAAACTTTAAATTTACAGCTCAGTAAATTTTCTCAAACACATCCACAAATTAACCCAGATGAACTAGAACATTACCAGTATGTTAGGACCTATTCATCCCTCTTCTAGTGACTGCTAGCCCAGTGTAATTATTATCCTGAATTAAAGCACCGGGGATTAGTTGTAGCTATTTTTTTTTTTTTTTTAAATTTTATATTAACTCATGTGTGCACCATAGACTGTTTTTGTTCATTCATTCAATTGTTAAAAAGTTTAATTACTAACTTAAACCTTTTTACTGTGAATTAAGTGAAGATTTACAGAAAAGATCATCCGTTTTACATTCAGCAAATCATGCACTTTGTTTCATCTCAAAGATTGCAGTCACCTCCAAGCAGTAATAGTTATCCCGCTTCTCCCCTGGATTATTTCCTTTCCTCCCTCCTTCGCATCCCTTCTCAACTTTGTCCTCAGATAAATGTTCTTTTGATTGTGAATCGTTGACCTTTCCATGGTATGCACACTTTACTAGTATTGTTGCCCCCCCACCTCAAAAAATTACTTATCTACTGCTTAGATAAAGGAGCTCTGGTAGCGTAGTGGTTACGAATCGGGCTGTGAACCGCAAGGTCAGCAGTTCGAAACTACCAGCGGTTCCGCGGGAGAAAGATGAGGCGTTCTGCTCCCGTAAAGATTTACAGCCTCGGAAACCCTGTGCAGGTCGCTATGAGTCGGAACCGACTCCATGGCACTTAACAACAACTGCTTAGATAAAAATCGGACCATCGGGGTGAGTTCCATTTAGACCTGAAGAGTGGGCTAATCAGATTCTTCCATTCTTTCTAACCAATAATCCCAGTCTTTATAATTTTGAGGTTTCACATTTTTCCCTACAACATTTGGCATCTTCTAATGTGATCCCTTTCAAAGCAGTTGGTAGTGGTAGATGGGAACTCACTTGTTCTAGTGGGCTGGTCGAGTCCAGGTGTCACTCGTCTTTCTTCTGCACTTGTAGAGACCATTAGTTGCACCTGACGTGGCCGCTCATGCGTCACTACTCACCAAAGTAATGTAAAATGTTGTCTTTGTGGACTATGTTAATTGGCCATGGTATTCCCTGAGAGTATGATAGTAGTATTTGCTCTTGTATCTTGCTTTGTGAGATTTATTTGTGTATATGATTAGGTCAGTGCTCAATGGCATGTATTTTTCTCATTGTATTTACAT